TATTTGATCTACTGCAAATATAAATATATAAAATATATAGAAAATCAAAATTTTCACAAGATAGTAACAATATTTCATAGGTTAAATGTTACTAAAGCTTGATTCTGGTCAAGCTCGAATTAGACTAGGTTTTACCCAGGTTAAAAAATCACATAGCGACTGATGAAGCGTTATTTTCTTCAAGTTAGACTAGGTTTATGAAACTCTTTCCTCTCCAGATTATTTCAGTCTCACATGTTGACCTTTGGTTTAATGTTGGTTTTAAGACCACTGTTAAGTCCATCAATCCCTAGACTTCAAGAAGAAACTTTCCTTTATGATTATCGATAACCTTGTAAGTTAACATTCTTAGTTCGGTTAAGTAACCAATCTTCTCCCCATGATTAGAACCTTGGCAAAGAAAACCTTCTTCCAATTTTTCAAACAAGGTCATCTTCAAATTCGTTGAAGGTCCACCAGTGTCGGCATCAACGTTCAAGAATTTTCTGATGTTTTTACCAACTAGGATATGCTGCAGAAACTCAGGAAAAACAAAATCAAAATTGTTAAAAAAGAAACTCCCTTACGTTATTTTGGTATAGTGTCTCAGCGAGTAAAAAATTTGTGGCGTCTTGATACAAGCAACAGTCTTAAGAATGATCATCATTTGTTCCTTGGATCAGTTCCTTTGTCAAAGATAACGAGTGAAGGAACATTTAAGAGAGTGTCCCTACAATCATCTCATACTTCTGTAACATTGTAATTGAATACCATGTTGGGAAATTGCTTTGCCCCCAAGAAAATAATACCCTAGTTTGTGATTTACAGTTTTAAAACCTCTAATTGCTAAGGTCGGGTATTCGCCTTGGCTGAGTAGAAGTCAAGCAACAGAACGTCATTGGCACATTTATGACATTCATTTAACTCTTTTTTCCAAAAGTTAAACATCCATTTTGGAAGCAGAAATATATGTTTACTATTCTGGTTCTTTTCAAGGTAACAATAGATGAAGTTGATCATCAAGAACGTCTTTTCATATACAAGAGCTTGAGCTAGTGCATCCATTTGGGTTTTCAACAGCCAAGTTGGTGCATAGAAAGTTGAGTATCTCGATGTGATGGGGCTTCACATAACTTTTATGCAAATGATAAGGAAAAATGTTAGTTACTCATCTTTAGAGACTCTAAATTTTATAAAGTTGAGAGTTTTTTAAAAATGAGTTTATAGCATTTTCTCATCCTTTGCACAAAAGTTATATGAAAACTCATTACATTGAGATACTCAATTTTCTTTGCAACCTGTTTGGGTGTACCCCAAATGATTGCATTTGAACTCAAAATTTTATATTTGAAAGGAAGTCCTTGATTGTCAATTTTATTTAAGATTACCTTGCAAAGCACTTGAATAGTAAACCTCTATTTGCGTTTCCACAATAGATGTTTAGCTTATGGAAATAAGTATTTGATGGAATAAAGGTCAGTGACGTTCTATTGCTCTACTTCTACTCAGCAAAAACGAATACATGATCTTAGCATTTAAAGGTTTTGAAGCAGTATAGATCACAAACAAGATAATTATTTTCTTGGGCTCAAAGCAATATTCCAACTTAGTATCTCTTAACAGAAACTTTGAGATGGTTGCAGAGACATTATCTTAAATGTCCTTTCACTTATCATCTTTGATAAATGAACTAATCCGGGAAAAGAGATAGATGAGCATTCTTAAAGTTTTTGTTTGTATCAAAAGACGTCACATAAAGTTTTATTCACAAGGATACTAACCAAAACATTATAAGAGAGATTTTCAACATCATGAATGCCAATTTATGAAGCATACCAAACTTGGGAACAATTTTTTTTTAAAAAAGTCTAAAATGTTGATTTCAAAACTGTTGAACCTTCAACGAATTTTAAGATTTATTTTTTAATAAATTGGAGGAAATGTTTCTTCACAAAGGTATATATTATTGTGAGAAAATTAGTTACTTAACCGAGTTAAGAATGTTGTCAACCAAGGTTGTCTATATAACACAAATGAGTGTTTCTTTTTAAGGTGACTCTTGTGACTATGTTTACTTGTTGATTACTTGAGTCACACAAAACCGCAAAGCTTCTTCTTTATCTAAAAGTTAGGTCCATAATTATAATATTCGATATGAAGAGAGTCTTTAAATAGAGAGGTAGGGGACTTTATTGTAGGTTGTGACAGCAAACATGGTGAGCTTGATAGAGGAAAGTTATAGAACATCTCTTGAACAAATCTCCATTGTTATGGTTATTAGCTTCATTCTTATCAGATTTTTATCCATGAAATCGAACTCCATTGATACTGCTATAGAGTTATATCTTGGCCGAAGCTTGATTAGCAAACTAAAGACTTTGTGAAATCTATTATGGTTTTTCTTAAACGGTTTAAAATCACGAATATGAATGTGTAAAGAAAATACATGAATATGTCTTAAACACATATATACAACGAGACGATTTTTTTTCTAGTGTATAACTTATTAAAAATCTTTCTGTAGAATGTTAAAATGAAAGAAATTTTTTGTGTACATCCCGAAACGGAGATTTACCATATACTTTTTCAAATCAAAAATAAAATTTGAAACAGTTATATATTAATTATTATCAAAATTGAAAAATAAGAGAAAAAAGATTAGATTTTGCTAACAATTAAAATTTACCTCAATCAAGGACTCATTCAGCATTTGAATATATAGCTTCATATTGCTTTCAGCAAGGTTTGTGTTGTTGTCTCTTAGAACACGTCCTCTAGAGTGGTCAAGTAAAACGTTAATATTTGGATGACCAAAAGAGAAAAAATTTCCACCTTGTGAAAATATGATGATCACAGTTTCGACATCACATAACGTGCAAAGTTCACTAGCTTTCTTAAAAAGACATGATCTTCTCTTTGAAAATGTAACTTGAAGGTTTGATTAATTTTTCATTTTACATTTTCAATCAAACCTTCAAGTTACATTTTCATAGAGAAGATCTGGTCTTTTTAAGAAAGCCAGTGAGCTTTGCAAGTTATGTGATGTCGAAATTGCGATCATCGTGTTTTCACCGGGTGGAAAAGTTTTCTTTTTTGGTCATCCAAATATTAACGTTTTACTTGACCATTCTTCAAGACGTGTTCTAAGAGAAAACAACACAAACCCTGCTGAAAGCATCACAAAGCTATATATTCAAATGCTGAATGAGTACTTGACTCAGGTAAATATCATTTGTTGGCACCATCTAATCTTTTTCTCTTATTTTTCAATTTTGATAATAATTAATATATAACTGTTTCAAAATTTATTTTTGATTTGAAAAAGTATATGGTAAATCTCCTTTTTGGGATGTACACACAATTTTTCTTTGATTTTTTATTTTTTTTTTGAATACCAGGAGGTTCTGGACCAAAGCCCGTAAGCTCCCCCAAGCCCGAAACCACAGCATGTAATATTAGTTTCGTCCCAAACGTCACTCGAACCGGCGACCTCTAAGCTTCGCCTAGGGTCTTTACCAATTAAGCTAACGACACTTGGTATTTTTCTTTGATTTTAACATTCAAAAAAAAAGATTTGTAATAAGTTATACTCTAGAAAAAATTTGTCTCATTGTATATTTGTGTTTAAGACATATTCATGATTGAAGGTTCCAGCGACTGAAAAGAGAAAAGAGAGGGCAATTTTATGTCGCAGGTTGTGGTCGCTGGCGATCTCCAAAAGAACAAGGCCATTGTATTTAATATTCTGTACTCTGTAGTGTATTGTATCTATGTAAGATCGCACCGATGATGCCGTCCCGTCTGATTTGTTACAACGTACACTAGCATTGACAACTCTTCTATATCCACTAGGACCATTACATTAGCATGCAAATGCCACAAGTAATAAATCACTCGGTTTTGAATTTACGTAAGCTTCATGTATTTCTCTCTCGATAGTCCATAGTGGGTAGTCAAATAGTCAATATTTAACAAAGAAACGGGTTTGGCATTTTTATTTTACTAGGAGGGGATGTGAATCTCACAAGAACTAGATTTGGAACTTAGCTGAACACCTAGGCAGAGCAAGAAGGCGATTGGTGAGTCTTTATTTGTTGTTATGATCAACATCAATTTGCAATCTCATCACTCGAAGAAACTGTATTTCCCCAGCTAAGATGTGTTTCTTCTATCTTCGATGAGTCGTTGTACGCTTTCAATCTAAATCATGGAACTCGAAACCAATTTGGCCAAAAAATTTGGGTTTTAACGACGAATTTTAATTATCGAAATTGTCAAAGATTTAAAGTACTAAATTGGGTTTGATGGGCTATTCAGTGGACTAACATTCTTAATTTTCTCTATCAAACGCTAAAACAGATTAAATTTGAAACTCCTCGTTCATCTTTTTTTGCAGATATTATTGATTACTAGGGGTTAGCCCGAGCTACGCCCATTATATATTTAACAATTGACATGGTTAACTAGTTTGTTAAAATCTCAAACAGAGTAAAATAATATCAAAGATGATTCAGAAATTTCGATGGATGAATGATATTATTTCCTCTTACGTATACTAAAGTTTTCCTGTAAGTTTATATAGTATATACTTCATTTTTTTTTTTTTGATTAAAACAGTTTCTACATAAATGATTACAAGAAAATTAACGTAGCCTTACATTCAACTTAAAAAATTTATGTGTATTTTCTTAAGTAGTATTATATTTTTGACCAAAAAAATAGTTATATAATATTTTACATATCAAAATGCAATGTTATTAAAACACTTCTCCTCCTAGTTGGGCAACCAATCAAGGAGTTATTTACTAATTAATGTGTGGTTGACAAAAAAAAGCAATGTTATTCTTATTTTCTTCCAGCAAATGACGTTGAATTATATATGATATTTTTATACATATAAATAAATAGAAATTCCAAAATGATTAATTAAGCCATTACAACATAATACCAAAACAAAAGTGAGTAGTCATTTTCGTTTGTTACTCGATTTAATAAAAAGAAAAAAAATTGTACTAACAAAAAATACAACACTTCGTCTATTTTCGAAACAAAATAAAATACATAATTATAAAAGAGTCATTGTTGAAAAAAAAAAGTCATTGTTGACTTGTATCAGTTTCATCAAGGAGCTCGCTCTCATTTTACCTGGAAACAATTAATAGCAAACACATAAAATATTGGTTAAAAACATCCAAATAGATAAAAATTCAACCAGAATTAACAATAACAATAAATTAATTAACCAACCTTTTGTATATGGTTTTGATGTCTTCCCTCATATATGAAGCTCCAAGGAAGTAATCATTGCTGTACTCTCCATCAATCGTCGGAATACAAAATTTTCCATCTATAGGATAAGTCTTCCCATCAAACCATATTCCAGAAATAATCTCCTTTTTAGCTGCGATTATTTCTTCATCTTCTTCTGATGTATCCGCAGCCACCAACCTATAGGAATAAACTTTGTTTTGTTGTCCTGGTTGATAAGCCAGCTCTATGGCTTGTCGAGCCATACAAGGGTTGGCGATGATGTCGAGCATTAAAACTCTTGTTGCACCCGTAAGACCAGTCTGCTCATTACACGCTTTAAGGGATACAAAGAAGATTTTCGCATCATTCGAGTTGTTGAATTGATTAATGGACATTTCTCTAGTAGAATGACTTGTATCACCTTTAATCATGAATGTTTCTTTGCCATCTTTCCAACCTTTAATCTTAGCCACGAGTCTTTGGAGGAATATCAATGGGATGACATATTGGCTCACTACAAGAATCTTCTCATTCGTGTAATCGCATAACTTCACTAAACCCATGAAGAATTTTGTTTTTACGCCATCTGTTACGTCGATTTCTTTGATAATCTCATCCATCTCATTCTCGTTAGGGGCAGGAAGACCTTTTGCCCGGTCTGAGAAAGCACGTAGCAGTGGGTGAAGCGTGATTCCGCTCAAGGTAGAGTACGTTTTGAAACCTTTCCCTTTGGACTTTCTTTCAATCTCCCATGCTGACTTTTGGCTTAATGTCGATTTTAAGACCACCGTGAAGTCCATCAACCTCGGGACTTCAGGGAGAAACTCTCCTTTGTAATTGTAGATAACCTTGTTTGTCAACATCCTTAGTTCGGTTAAGTAACCAATCTTGTCTCCATGATCAGAATCTTGACTAAGCAAAGCCTCTTCCAATTTATCAAACAATGGCATCTTCAAATTCGTTGAAGGTCCATCAGCGTCATCTTCAACATTCAAGAATTTTTTGACATTTTTACCAATTTGTTTATGCTTCAGAAACTCAGGGAAAGCAACATCAAGAATGTTGAAAACCTCCTTAATGTTGTTTTGGTATAGTGAGCCAGTGAGTAAAACCTTTCGTGGCGTCTTGATACGAGCAACAGCCTTAAGAAAGCTCATCATCTCGTTCCTCGGATCAGTTCCTCTGTCGAAAACAACCAGTGTAGGAATGTTTAAGAGAATTTCCCTACAAGAATCTGAAGCCTCTGTACCACTGTTATCAGATACTATGTTGGAGAACTGCTTGGTGCCTAAGAAGATAATACTCCGGTTTGTGATCCATCGCTTTAGAACTTCTAACTGCTGAGCTCGGGCATACGCCTTGGCCGAGTAAAAGTCTAGCAACACGAGGTCATTGACCTTCAATTCACCAAACTCTTTTCTCCAAAAGTTCAACATCCACTTAGGAAGCACAAGTAGAGGTTTACTATTTGGGTGCTTTTCTAAGTAACCATATAGGAAATTAACCATCAAGAAGGTCTTTTCAGATAAAGGAGTTCGACCTATGATGCAGCCGTTTGAGTTTTCCACAACCAAGTTCTTGCAGAGAAAATTGAGTATCTCTACGTGATGTGGTTTCATAATATCTTTTTGCAATGGATGAGGGAAAATGCCAGTTCCTAAAAACCCATCTTTAGGAACTCTCAACTTGATATCTTTGCAAATATTCGACCCGAATCCGGGTGGCAATGGATGATCCTAATTATATAACAAATTGGATTATGATCAGACAAATATCTTTAACGTGGTCAGACCCAATTTGAACGTTAATAGGATTAGAACCATAAAAAATTGTCGAATTCCCGTGAACCGGGTGACCTCTGTATAATAACTTTCTTAAACTTTTAGGAATATTTTCAATTATGTGCCTAAATATTTTTTTATTACTTATCTAATTAAAAACAATGAAATACTAAAAATACTTTGATATTCAAATATTAAAGAATACTTATTATGTTATTTTCATATATTTATTTGATATAATTTATATATAGATAAAATGTAAAACAAATGACAGCATATCTCTCTTTTTATTTAGTTGTTGATCGAGATGTATTAATTTATTATGATATTTGATATTTGTTATGTGTTAGATTACAAGTTATTTTTGAAGTTTATGTTTAGTTTAATTTTGTCTAAAAGATATTTTGTTATATATATATATATATATATATATATATATCAATCATGTATATTAAATATATTTATTTTATATATAAACTTCTTTGTGAATCCGGTTTGATCCGGTCAAACTAGATTGAACCGAGATCCAAATGTCTGTCCGGTTGCCTTTGGTTCAGTTTTTAAAATATTGAGTAAAAAATATATTAATTTACAATGTAATTAAATAATCACTAACTCACCTTGTCAATGGTATCACATATCCAACAAGTATGACCAAGACCTTGCTTCCATATCCAAGAATGCTCACAATTTTTCAGTGATGCTCCACTTTTCTAGTAAAAGGTCACAAAACTCATTAGTAACAATCTCCACTATGCGTTTAACTAAACAACTTGTCAATGACAAATTATTAACCTCAAATGTGCTTGAAACTGGTTCATCTTTTGGCCAAATAGCTTTGTTAAGGTCGAAGATTGCTTTTCCTTTGTCTTTGATCGTATTGATTTCTTTATCACTTCTCACATGAACTCCGACTAATTCATTTCCCTACACATAATAAAAATTAACTCATCATGAAAAAATGTTTGATCTAAGATCATAACAACAACAACCATAAATATTTTACTACCACACATTTCTTATTTGATATGTACACTTACATCTAAGTACAAATCGTTGGCTAGTCCTTTACCACTGTTAATGCCTCTGCTGCTACCGCCAATATTGACATCTTTAAGTGAGCTTCCGATTGTATGATCATTCTTAGCTATATTATCTTCCGAGGCCAAATAAACAATTGGTACGTCCACTAACCCATTGAACTCCGTTTTCGAAAACCAATGAGCCACATTTCGATCGACACAACTTCCACTGGCTTCTTGATTTTCTAGTGTCATAACCTTTTTTCTTTTATCGTCGTTTTGATGTAGGTCTGAAAACATAAAATAAAGTGATTATTACATTATTTTCCATCCGTAAAAAATATTACAAAGATATATTTAAGTAAAATTTGAAATATCATAAATATTAATAAAAATACCATAAAATTATTAAATCAAAATTTTAGTTAAAGTTCTTTTCGCTGGAGGGAGATGTAGTTACCCTCACACTCTCCTCTTATGAATCAATCACTATCATTTTATCAAGATGGCCTCAGACGCATGTACATATACTATTTATTACTTTTATGTTACCTCTTCTACCTTTCCATATTAGAATACTAGACAGTCTAGACTTACAAGTAAAAATAATTTATATATAGTTATATCTGCGACAAAAACTACATTTAGACATTGATAAACTGTTTTGAACAAAAATAAAGACATTGATAAACTGCAAGTGATTTTGCAGCATACAATATTTTTCTTAATATAAATTGTATAGGCAGAGAAACAAAGATTTATACCTTTCTCTTGTGATAATTTCCTCTTTGCATCCATTGAAAAGTTATGGAGAATCAGAACTCAAACTATAGTTTCTCAGTTTTTTTTCTATGATTTAGAGAGAGCAAAAATTTCTAGTATGTAAACTGAATTTTATCCTCCCAACTCACTTACATATATATGTGTAGAAAATAAGGATATGAAAATTTAATTAAGTTTTTTTGACCAAAAATGACAAATAAAAAATATTGAATAAAGAAAATATAAAGTTGTTCCTTTAGTTTTAAAACAGTATTTTGGTGTTGATGTGTAAGTAAAAAATATCATGAAAAATGTAAGTATGGGTACATTTTAATCTAGATATTATGTTTAAGCCACTTTTTATTTCTATTTTGTGACTATCAATAGATAAATTTATAAAAAAAAAATTAAAAGACAAATTTTATCAATATATATATTTAATGTGTAAATCTGAAAAAGTGGCGCGAACATTTAAAATGTAGTTAGTATTGTATTATTTCCCCTAACAATTCATATATTTATTTTATGACTAAATTTTTTTTACAAAGTTAAATTTGTTTGTTATAAGTACTTTTTTAAGCGCGAATACTTGAAATTCCGTTAATAGACTTATTTTTGAATGTCTAGTTAAATGAAGACTTCATCGATGATTTTTTAACGTAAATCAAATTTAAATTTGGGTCTGCTCATAATTCATTTTGTACACAAACATAATACAAAAGTAAATATTAAATTTTAAGAGATTTTGTATATAGCGTAATCAGTAAATTTAGGATTTTTTTTTCCTTTATGTTAAAGAAATTAGGATTTATATACGTAAACTATTTAAAAACAATTATTAGTTTACAAGGAAACAAAGTGTCTATGTTGACTACTTGATTTGGCAGTTAGAAGAAAAGAAATGAAGCCAAAATGTAACGCTTATCACAATTGGAACATTTAATACAATTTTATCTTTTTTAAAGAAGACAAAATTTAACGCTTCTCACAACATTTTAATACAGTTTTATCTTCATTTTTGTCAGACAACCAATGCATGTTGTAATTAGCTGGCATAAACAGTGTATGAAGACAAAATTGGAAGCTTATAAGAATATATATTTAATTACAATTTTCTATAAAACGGCTAATGCATTTGCTATTGTCCAGCACTTTTTCTATTCAAATTAAAACTTTAAAACTGATTATGAGACGCATATGAATAACTAAAATAATAATAACAAAAACGTCATATTAAAGTTTCTTTCTTGGTGTTTTTTTTTTTGCAGTGAGGTTTTTATAATTAGTTAGAAGTGAACACAAAATTTAAATTTTGATAAAATATATATTTTTAAAATTATTATCACTCTAAAGAATAGTTCATTTTTGCTGGTCAAAAAAAAAAAGAACAAAAATGACTAACTCCTATTATATAATTTGTTGACTGCAATGGATGTGTAATCAATTTAAATATACAGACTGGTAATAAAGTTTTCTTTATTGGTTAAGAAAATAGATAGCTAAATTTTGATTTTTGACGGAAAAAAAGAAGCTAAATTTGGATTTTTAATTTATGATATTAGATCTACAACTTCAATATATAAAGAGACTCTTAAGAAAATATGTCATTCTTTCTACTAAAGTTAACAAAATAGTTTATATTTTCAAAAAATAAATTAAAATAGTCTAAAATGGAACCCAAAACTCTAAATCGTAAGTACTTAACTCTAACATAAAATCTAAACCGTAAGTACTTAACTCTAACCTAAAATCTTAAACAAATCCAAAAATAAAAATTAATTTAAACCCTAAAATCTAAACCCGATAAAATAAAGTTGTTTATTTCCTCAATTTTTAAAAATATTGGCCTTTTCTATAATTTATACCTTTTTTTTTCTTTCTCGTTCTTTATATAAATACATCGTATACGATATAGATAACAATTAAAACAAGACTTCTTTTTCTCCGTCAAAGCTTGTATTGAAGAGTTCTCTCATCGGTGCATTAACGACAGTCACAATGCTCGAAAAGAAAATCGAGATGGCGTATTAGTCGAGAGCAAACAATATTCTACAAATTTGTGACGACTCTTGAAAAGGAATAGTGCATTACCGCCATTAAAGAGATAGTTTCCGATATTTGGTTTGACGGAAAACACAGCCTAGGTCAAGTCCGATATGAGGGGTAACATCGATGTCATACACTAAAGGTTAGTTTAATTGTTATTTTTTTCTATTGTTAACTGGGTTATTTTTAATCGGTGTATGAACAATTATAGGCTTTTAATTAGATAAATCGATCAAGCTAACAAATTGTTAATTAAATTTAAAAATTTAGATATTTCATATTCACCACTTTGGAAAACAATTTCTCCAAAATAATCACCAGAAAATTGATGCAACTTATCAATCAACTGAAATTTTATTATATTTTATTGTCTTTTTAAAATAGTGTATTGTAGTTTTGGCAAAATAGTTTTTTTTTTTCTTTCTATCAGAAAGGTGGAGTCTTAAATTTTACATATCAAAAGAAAGTGTTATTTTTCTTTTCTTTCAATTGCCAATACTTTTCCATTATTGTATATAAGCTTCAAATACATATTAAGGCTGGACACGGAGTAGAAATTCAAGATTTATATGTTATTCGTGATTTGTTCGGTACAAATAATGACTTTTCTGATATATATCCATTCTGCCATTTACTGGATATTTGATGTCCATTTATCCGTTAAAAATCGGATATTCGGTCGGATATTTGTTCCACTCCAAATATAAATATTTAAAATATATAGAAAAATCAAAAATTTCCCAAGATAGTTATAAAATATGTTTTACTGAAGCTTGATTCTGCTCAAATTAGACTAGGTTTTACCCAAGTTGAAAAGTACATAGTAGCTCGTAAGACTTGAAGCGTTATTTTGCTCAAGTTAGACTAGGTTTATGAAACTCTTTCCTCTCGAGATTATTCAATCTCACATGGTGACTTTTGGTTTAATGTTCGTTTTAAGACCACCATTGAGTCCATCATTCCTAGGACTTCAAGAAGAAACTTTTCTTTGTGATTATAGATAACCTTGTTTGTTAACATTCTTGGTTAGGTTAAGTAACCAATCTTGTCTCCATGTTTAGAATCTTGGCTAAAAAAGCTTCTTCCAATTTATCAAACAAGGGCATCTTCAAATTCATTGAAGGTCCATTAGTGTCGGTCTCAACGTTCAAGAATTTTTTGATGTTTTTCCCAGCTAGGATATACTCCATAAACTTGGGGAAAACAACATAAAAATGTTAATAAACCTCCCTTATGTTTTCTTGGTATAGTATCTCAGCGAGTAAAACATTTTGTGGCGTCTTGATACAAGCAACAATCTTAAGAAAGATCACCATCTTGTTCCTTGGATCAGTTCCTCTGTCAAAGATAACAAGTGAAGGAACATTTAAGAGAATGTCCCTACAATCATCTTATACTTCTGTTACATTGGAATCAACCATGTTGGGGAATTGCTTTGCCCACAAGAAAATAATACCCTAGTTTGTGATCCATAGCTTTAAAACCTCTAATTGCAAAGATCGAGTATTCGCCTTGGCTGAGTAGAAGTCAAGCAACATGATGTCATTTTCACATTTAAATTTTTGACCTTCTATTATCAGAACTATTTTTTGCAATAGTTAAACATCCATTTTGGAAGCACAAATACATGTTTACTATTCGGGTGATTTTTAAGGTAACCATAGATGAAGTTGATCATCAAGAACATCTTTTCAGATACAAGAGATTGAGCTATGATGCATCCATTCGGGTTTTCAATAGCCAAGTTGTTGCATAGGAAGTTGAGTATCTCGATGTGATGGGGCTTCACATAACGTTTATGCAAATGATGAGGAAAAATGCTACTTAATCATCTTTAGAGACTCTCAACTTATAAAATTGCGAGTTTCTTAAAAATGAGTTTTCATCAATGGCATTTTCTCATCCTTTGCATAAAGTTATATGAAAACTCATTACATCGAGATATCAATTTTGTTTGCAACAGATTTGGTGGAGAGCCCAAATGGTTGCATTTTAGCTCAAACTCTTATATTTGAAACAAAGTTCTTGATTGTCAATTTTATTTATAATTACCTTGCAAAACACTTGAATAGTAAACCTCTATTTGTACTTCCACAATAGATGTTTTATGGACAAAAGTGTTTGATGGATTAAAGGACAGTGACGTTCTATTGTCCGACTTCTACGCAGCGAAAACGAATACATGATCCTAGCATTTAAAGGTTTTGAAGCAATAGATCACAAACTAGAAAATTATTTTCTTGGGCTCAAAGCAATTTTCCAACTTGGTATTTAGTGACATAAACTTTGATATGGTTAATGAGACATTATCTTAAATGTCCTTTCACTTGTCATCTTTGATAAATGAACTAATCCATGAAAAGAGATAGATGAGCATTCTTAAAGATGTTGTTTTTATCAAAAGACGTCACCAAAAGTTTTATTCACAAGGATACTAACCAAAACTTTATAAGAGAGATTTTCCACATCATGCATGCGAGTTTATGAAGCATAACAAACTTGGGAACAAAACTAAAAAAAAATCTAATATGTTGATTTCGAACCTGTTGAACCTTCAAGGAATTTTAAGATTCCTTTTTTTGATAAATTGGAGGAAATGTTTTTTTTTCACAAAGGTATATAAATTAGTTACTTAAAAGTGAAGAATGTTGTCAACCAAGGTTGTCTATAACACAAAGGAGTGTTTTTTTTAGAAAAATATTTGGGTTCACCCCCTCTTTAATAACCAGTCAGAATATGACACCTAATAATAATAAAAATAATTTAATTTAATTATAAAATCTAATTTGCTACTAAAACGAAATTATGTATCGGTTTGGGTTTATTAGAAAAATTCAGGGTTTAGATTTTATGATTAAACGAGGTTAAATATCGGTTTGAGTTTATAAACGGATTTAGATTTTACAATTAAATGAGGTTAAATATCAGTTTGGGTTTAGAAAGTACGATTAGGGTTTAGATTTTATGATTAAACGAAGTTAAATATCGGTTTGGGTTTATAAACGGATTTAGATTTTACAATTAAACGAGGTTAAATGTCGGTTTGGGTTTAGAAAATACGATTAGGATTTAGATTTTATGATTAAACGAGGTTAAATATCAGTTTGAGTTTATAAACAGATTTAGATTTTACAATTAAATGAGGTTAAATGTCGGTTTGGGTTTAGAAAATACGATTAGGGTTTAGTTTTTTTACGATTAAATAAGTTTAAATGGCGGTTTGGGTTTACAAAGGAAAATTAGAGTTTAGATTTTGTAGTTAAACGAAATTATATATCGGTTTTGATTGACAAAAAAGTGAGTTTTTAATGATTTAATTGAATTATTTTATTTTGATAATATTAATTGTTTTAAATTTTTTAATCAGATGACATGGCTTATTCTGATTGGTTATTAAAGAGGGGGTGAATGAATTGGGTTCACCCCTAGGGGTGAACCCAAGAATTGTTCTTTTTTTTAAGTTTACTCTTGTGACAATGTTTACTTGTTGACAGAGCCGTAGCTGAATAGAAGCAAGGGAAGCAAGGGCTACGACCCTTGTTATGCTTAATAATTTTTTCGGCCCTCAAAACAATAAGATTGTCTTTAGCCTAGTGGCTTTGTTTGGTATCATTTGACTCTGAGTTCGCGTGTTCGAGTCTCTGGTTTGCGTTAAGTTTCTTTACAATTATGCATTTTTTTAGAGCGGCCCTTTTTTTTTCCTCGCATGTGGCCCTCAAAATCGTTGCTACGGCTCTGCTTGTTGATTACTTGAGTCACACAAAACCGCAAAGGTTCTTCTCCATCTAAAAGTTAGCTCCATAATTATAATAATCAATGTGAAGAGAGTCTTTAAATAGAGAGGGATGGGACTTTATTGTAGGTTGTGACAGCAAGCGTGGTGAGTTTGTTAGAGGAGAGTTATAGAACATCTCTTGAACAAATCTCCGTTGTTAGGGTTATTAGTTAATACATAGCTTCATTCTTATCAAATTTGTACCTTTGAAATCAAACTTCATTGATACTGCTAGAGTTATATCTTCACCAAAGCTTCATTATCAAACTGAAGACTTTGTGAAATCTAGAATGTTTTTTCTTAAACGGTTTAAAGAGTTCGATATGAGTAAGTATCTACAGGTTGTTTGGGTGCAAGTTGTTTGCAGGAGAGTTAATTAGATGGAAGCCTAAGGACCACTCTTGCAAAATTCATGGTGGTGGTGAATTGGCCAATGGCTCAAGTATCACTTAAAGCACAATGTCATTTACCTCACTTACAATGGTTAGTCTAGGAAGATGGGTTGTCCATCGGTTCAGTGTCCACTACATTAATGCAATTTTTAAATATTTGCTTCAATGAGAGAAGAAAAAGAGGAAGAAGATAATAGCTTAGATAAAACCTTTACAAATAAACCAACGATTTAATAAATACTATTCCCTCTATTCTTTTTTATTTGATGTTTGAGGAGAATACATATAAATTAAGAAATCATTTAATTTTTGTTTATTTCTAAACTAAAACATCATTTATTATCTACCCAAACATGATTCAACCAATAAGAAAACAATTTGCAGAATATAAAAACCAATAATAAAAAAAAAAACTAATTAATTTTGTATTGAAAATTAAAAACATCATCTTAGAACAAAATTTTACTCCTAAACATCAAATAAAAAAGAACGGAGGAAGAAGTAAAACACACAAGACCCGATGAAGAAGAGTTTTAAACCAAATTAAAGCACTAACTGAGACAGAATCACAATCTTTGTACACTATCTCTGAATTTTTAGTCACTACTTCAAAAAAATTACATACATTTCATATCTGAAGAGTCGAGTGCAAAGCAACAACAGAATGATAATAGGGTTGTTGCCTTTTGGGAACCCTCGCTCAAAACCCACTATATGGTGATGCTGTCCTGTCTGATTTGTTACCATTGATATTGTCCTCTCTAATTTGTTCCAGTTCTGTTGTCTGTCCTCCACACCATTAAGTTATCAGTGCCAGGGAGATGAGAATGGTCATAATTTGGCTCCCTTAGGACTTGGCAAGAACGACCATCACCACAGGTTTATGCGCCTTTGGCCGTGTTTCCGGTTTTGTGTTGTGTATTAGAGTTAAGCATTATCGTTTCATTGAAGTTCTGCTATTGTCCTAACCAAATGGCCAATAATATACAGATACATAAACACTTCAACATTTTAAAGATTAACTAACACAAAGGCTTCATGCGTCGTCCTTTTGAAGCAGAAGAGACGAAAGATCATTACCACCACCATTGTTTGGCGTCGGAGTTTGTTCATTCCGACGCCGGCGCTTCCCATAACCACTGTTAACCGCCACCTCTTGCCATCCTCCAAACGTCAAACTATTAGCAAATGTATCTTTGACGCTCTCCATCACTTCCCTCTCTACTGGAGATAATCTCTCCAGTGCAATCCCTGAAGCAGCTTCCTCAAATTCCCTCATACAAGCAATCTACACAAAACCAACGTAAATTGATTTTGCAGGTTTCAAATATAAGATGTTTTAAAAACAAAAAATGATAAAGATTAAACTTATTTTACCATATTCATGACTTGGGACTCGAGAAACGCTTCTCGGTATAGTTTCGTGATACTGATCCTAGCATACCATTCCATGTAAGCTCCATCATCCACCACATTGCCACCTCCAGGACTGTCCACAATGTGGTCCCCACGTTCAGCCCATTCCTCGCACGCTAGACTCATTGACGTGTCCAAGTCATCAAGCCGACGGTTCTTTCGGTCGCGGCGTTTTACTTTCTGAGGTATCGGCTGGCGTTTCCCAAACTGCCTCAGACACCTATCTGGAAAATGTAGCTCTATTTTCTCAAAGCATACAAGAGTCGTTTTCGATCTTCCTAGAATCAGCTTGTCTTTAATGTGTGGTGGGATAAAGTTCTCAAATCTTTCATATGGACACCAAGTGATCTGCATTTTCACAACCACCAATTAACATGAAGAGCAATAAACAAATTCTTAAGGATGAACTGAAGGATTTACCTTGCTTGGATCAAGATCGTCCAGTTCTCTACGGTACTCAGAGAGGTCGGTTTTGGATCTGCTGCCTTTACCTTTCCACAAAAGAGCAAGCGGGAAACACGCTTCGGATTTCTCTGGTCTACCAATATCCAGGTGAAAATAACTCCAACACTATATACACAAGACAATCATATGTTTCTTTTCCAAAAGATATAGAAATCTCAAACGGACATAAAACCAAAACTAACATAGCAGCCAACCTGTAGCAAAGTCAAGCAGCCGCAAATATTGCTCTGAGACTTAAGCGACGCATTACCAAGCGCTCGGTAAAGACAAGCCAATGCAGAAGCTCCCCAAGCATATCTCCCAGCTTGATCAAAATCCTCAAACAAAGGCAAATACTTAACAGAGACTTTATCACCATCAGTAGTAGCGAAAATCGTACTACCAATAAGATACAACAAATAAGCTCGAGTATGACATTTAACAACATCGAAAGAAGCATCTTCAGGACACTCAGAGAAAGTTCTTTTAAGCCAATTAAGCTTAACCCTAGAACAATTAACTTCTTTATTAGCAGCAGATGGTAACTTCCCTAAAAGTCTACCACACATATCCATAGCAACCTCATCACCAACTTTAGAACCAACAATAGGATCTCCATCAATCTCAAGTCCAAGTACTAAAGCAACTTCATCTAACGTTATAGTCATTTCTCCTAAAGGAAGATGAAATGTATTGGTTTCTCTTCTCCATCGCTCAACAAGTGCAGAGATTAACGAATTGTTTAAACTCATTGGACCAATTTTGCGAAAGAAACCGAAACCAGCTTTGTCTACGAGCTTAATTTGTTCATCAGTGAGTTTCCATTGATGAAGTAATGAAGTGTGTTCTTGACAACGAAGTAGACCTCGTTCCTAAGGGAAATAAGGGAAAATAAGATTAACCCTAATTTCAAAATCTGAAATTTAGTATGGGGATGAGAAAAAAACCTGTCCTTCCCAAACAGCAGATGAAACATGGAGATCTTGTTCGTAGAGAACAGATGGATCAACTGGTCCGACATCAATATCCATGGCGGTAACTTTTAACTCAAAATCAGCGAAAAGTAGGGTTTACATAAGACAAATTTTGTCAATTTCTCAAAACAAAGAACCTTTGATTCATCAATTTGGAACTAAACCCAGATGAAAAAGAAGAAGAAGTTGGGGGTGGAAGCTAACTGTACCCTAATTTGGAATCGGTTCATAATTTTTCCTTTTGGCTTTGAATTTTAACATTACCGGTTATTTTAGTTCGGTTCTGTTAAACCGATTACGTTTTGACGGTCACATAAATTAATTTTTAAAATTCTAAAGATAGTGCTGAACTCCTTGTTGCGAGTGTTTCGATTTGTCAAATTATTTTTTAAATTTTTACAAACTTGACCATATCAAAAGAAATATTATATTAAGTATTATAATTTTATTTGGTATGATTAATTTATATTTTTTGGAGGTTGAAGTAAAATAGCAAAAATTTGCAAGTTAAAGGTTTTTTGCACAAAGCTCTGATTATGGTTGTTTGAACTTTGAATCATCCAAACAAATATATTTTAGATATTCCAATTTAAAGAGGCAAAAGAGAACCAACCCCCTTTAACCACTAGGCCACCACTTCTTTGGTCTTCCAAACAAATTTTCCAGCTCTTTTTCGGGTTCTCGTGCGATCGCGAAGAGTTTGACTAGAAATTGGCGCTTTCAATCATATATGGCACTTGGAGGGTCATCCTGGCTTAGAAACAAATGATGATCATTCATCTCTATCATCTTCATTTTCCTATTTCTAGTTTTGTGTGTTTGCTCTGTTTACAGGTTTCTCTGTTTCTTATGTCTTTAATGGGATCACATTCTTCTCTAATGCAGCGTCAATCTACCATTCTTAAGCCGAGTTATAACAAAACTCTTTGACATAAGAAAAAATCGCCGTGACCTGTTTTGGATACTTTGATTTTGATGTAGTTTATATACACATACTAAAGTTGACGTCTATGCCTCCTAATCAATATCAACCCAAAATCCCTTTCCTTTTACTAGGGATGAGCAATAAAATAGAACAAAACAAATTATACATGTTCAACAGAAATTTCATGTTCTTGAATGCTCTATCAATCTCCCGGAAATAGCAGCCGCAATAGCTGCAGTGAACTTAGGATCTTTGGTCAACGAAGAGGCCATTTGTTGCACCAAAACCTCTTGAATCGTTCCTCTCTCTTTCATTTCCTCAACTGGTTCAAGACCACCTTGAACTAGATCAAGTTTCACTGTCCTCGACGCACTGGCATGTTAGCCGGTGTGGTTATGTGTCCCTTCGTAAGTAGCTACCAAGAAAGATGGATCTTCTGCACTTCGTTGAACCTGAAACAATCACACACACCAGTAGAGGTTTCAATCAAACAGTAAGATGATATTAAAGAACTCTTTAACAAAGTTCAATGTAAATTACCTTCTTCTTGACTAGACAAGACGGTGAAAACGAACATCTGAAGTAAGCTCGAGGTGATGGATTATCTCTCGTAATCTTTTGCCCGTATTTCCTCCATTGATATCCATCTTTCACAGTCTACAAATAAGTATATCCACAAAACATTCGTTCATCAATCAATACACTCAAAAGCAACTAATAAGATCAAGACTCTGAATTATGAAAAAACAGTCACAAACACTTACCAAGCTTGAGTCAGACTTCTCAGCAGCAAAGTAGGCGGTTGAAACCGTCGCTTTATCTGTAGTGATATTCTCAATAGTTCCGAGACTGAGTCCAATTGGGGAGCTAACAAAGTCATCCCGCGCTTGTTTTCGTTTCCCCGTTAACTGTTTGTTCTGAAAGTTAACATTTTCAGGACTCTTTCGACTCTGCAACTCCTCCAAAATATTATTTAGAGCATAGTACTTCTCACAAACTCTTGCTAACATTTCGGTTAGCTTCGTGTTCTCTGATTTAACCCGGTTTATCTCCTCTTGTAACATATTTCTCTTCTGTTCAAAATTCAATAACCATAAAATGAAAATCACCATTACCAAACTAAATCCCTATAAGACCAAGTGTTTTTGAGGTCAAAAGTATTGCACACCAAGTGTTCGATGAAAGAACTAACCTCGTCTTTCACTAACCATTTCTTCTCTACATCTACAGAAGCTGAATCCGAAACTTCCCTTTTCTGAATCAACCAATAAAATACATATGAACCCCCAGATGGACTATGAAATATGCAAAAATTTCGACGAAATTTGAAACTCACCGGAAGTTTACCGGAGAAATGAAGGTCGAAAGGGTTGGTATTGGGATCATAGTCCATAAATAATATTACGGGAGAGAGAGACTTAAGATTATAGCGAAGACCAAATTCATAATTGCTGAGAGATTTGGTCTCCTTTGGTTTCCCTTTATAGTAACTAGTAAGTGGAGAGAGTGTAATAACTTGTCAATTATGAAAAGGTTGACCACTTGTGTAGTGAAAACATACAAGTTAATTTTATAGATAAATAATACAATTCTATAAAAATTGCAGGAAAACTATTTAATTTAATACGTATTGACAAAAAACAAGTTGTATTTAATACGTTGGCTTAAAATCGAAAATACTTGTCCTAAAAATTAAAAAAGGTTAGGTGTTAAATCGTAGTCGAATTGTTATATTTTGTTGTCATTGGAGAAAACAAGTGTAAAGATGACTCGAAAATCAACAATTTCGGCGGATGTCCCCTGTCGAAGAAAAATGAGTACTTCACATTAAGTCGCATTGTAAGATCCAGACGAACTTTCGCTTGACTTGACCCATTGACTATGCCCTAAAGGTTGGCATGTTTGTTTTTCAAATAATTTGTCCCATATTTTTGTTTATTTTATCCTACATTACGACGCATTATTTAATTATGTCAGCTAGGCAGAGTAAGAGATTTCGTTTCCATATTTTTTTAATGTTCATTAAGTTGGAAAGAAATTCACAACAAAGTGTTATAGAAAATGTTTTCAGCAAAAGGAAAGAAAAACCTTTCAAATCATTATTTTTTGCAACTTTACCTTTTCTTTTTTAAAAAACTGCATATTATTTTGACTAAGTCAAATATAGTACCCAATATAATATGTATACGTCTAAACATTTTTACAATCACATACATTAAATTTTAAAATTTTTAGATATGGACTAAGACACCTCGTTACAAGGATTTCGATTGATTATATTATTTATTAATAGCTTACAAATCTGACGATAATGAAACAGGCTGTATCACATATAACTTTTGAATTCGCGGAATTAATCTGTATTTTCGGAAATGGAAAGTAAAAAAAAGGAATAGAAGACTTGAAAATTGATGAAAAGACGTTCTTGTGTTACAAGTCTTTTTGGCTTTGAAAAGTGACCACATATCAGTATCAAAATTATATTAGTCCTCTCGAAACACCAGCAAACCTATATCGGGCTCGATCAAAATCATACTATGAATATTACAAGAACTTACTGTTTTTGGATAAAGAAGACCAAATATAGAGCCTTTGGGTCCATACTCAATTTCCCAGAATTTGACACAAAATTTTGATATAATTTAAAATAAAAAATACAACTACTGTAGGAGTGTCAAAACATGAAAACTCGTTCCGATTAACGAGTCTTGTGGGGTTTAGAAACTTTCTTCTTTCGCTTCTTGACAGATTTGGGTGTTTTCGTCTTCCTAGACTCGCGTTTCTCCTCTTTCACTTTCTTCTTGTGCTCTTTCCTTGCAGCTTTCTTGTCTTCAGGACCCAATTCTTCTTCACTCTCTTCTTCGCTTTCTCCGTCTTCTTCTTCTTCCTCCTCTTCTTCCTCTTCAGCATTCACCTCTATTGGTTGTTCTTCTACTTTAGGAAGAGCATCTTTCAGCCCCGTTATCGTTTGGTACAGCATGTCTCCTGTGTCCTGCCCGCTTGTTATCTTTGCGACATCAGCCTCCGGATTGTTCACAGCATCCAGAGATTTTGGTATGTATGACTGTGATCATCATAACAAACCAATAAGATAAGATGATTCTACAGACAACTTCACACATCAGTTCTATCGACTGAAAACACTTCACTAACCTTCATGAATACTGAATCCGCGATTTCATCCTCAACGGATATCTCTCCTCGCTCTATAACTTTTCGTTGGACCTGCCCATTATTATCACAAACTTCATTAGTTTGACTTTGCCAATACAAAAAACGTTACAGCTTTAAACCTGCCCACTGATTCAAAGGACAAATTCCATATAATAAAAAGTTATACATTACCTCTTCCAAATAGCTATCAACATTTTCGTCTGAAATTGTCGGGTCAACTATGAAGTCAAATAGCTCCCGTATTGTCATGACAGCTACACCATGTTTCTTGAAAAAATCCTGCGTGTGATTGTAATCCACACATCAGACACCCTTTTCCAGTCAAATTAAGCATTGGTTAAACAGGCTACTATTAACACTTACTGAGACGTGGTCACAATCTTCCCGTAGAAAGTTGAGTGCAAGAGGATGGTCCAGATCCACAGATTGAGAAACATCAATTATATAAAGGTGCCCCTGACAAAGTCAAGATAATATCATTATATTTGTCTTCTCTTGTTTTATCAAATTTTTGTTTTTCTTTCGTTTTGCTGGCAGGAAACGTCAAATAAGTGACCCTTGTAAACCCGAAGAGATCCCTTAAGAGATAAATCAGAACTCACCTCAAAATAAAGTATGTTATACTCACTGAGATCCCCATGCACCAATTTGCACTTCTGATATAATACTCGCATTTGAATTATCAACTGCAATGCAGAAAAAAGGATGTCAGTAAATTCTCGATAGGATAGTAAAGGGACCATAAAGAGATTAACCGTGGTTGTAATGCCGCCTGATATGTTTCAAAGACAACATGTCTAAGTAAAGTAGTACAATATTACATTCAGAACCCTCTAAATGAGAAATAAGACATACCTCTAGGTAACACTCGCGCAACTTGTCCAGGGATAATGCAGCATCCTTGAGACGCGGTGCAGCCCAACCATCCCTCCCTGCAAATATAAATGGTTTGGTAGCTGATAAATCTTTACTTCATCATTTCTCTGTTTCGATGAAATATGCTGATGACTGAGAGTAAACAGAGAAGAGTTGCGTGGAACCAGTGATTAAAACAGCAGATAATGCATTAGAGCGAACCTATAAACTCCATGACTAGTACATGAAGGCGTAGAAGTATAACAGCTGGACACCTAATTCCTGCTGCATGAAGCCTGCCAATGAAACATGTATATAATTATAACCAACTAAGGAATTACCCGAATTACTGTTACATATATTTGAAAAAAGTGGGTACATCTCCGGCTTCTGTTTGAAAAAGAAGATAAACCAACCTACATTAACTAGATTTCACACGGATTAGTAAGCCGATTGGAGAGGACTGCTATTCTAAGTTCACTTAAGTTCTATTATCCAGAATACACCCACAAAGAATTGTAGGTATTACCTCTTAAGATTTCTCTGTTCTTTTTCAGCCCACGTCTTAACCATCTTCCGAGGATTGTGGCGACAGTAACCATATCTAAAACGGTAATCTCCTTGTACATATCGATCTCGATCCCTGAAATCATCAAAGTTGAAAACAGGGTCAAAAACAGAATCACCAAGTGAAAACTTTTCGAACAAAACAATAAGCAACATTTATTCATGTATTAGCTCACTTAAAAACCAGAACGGATGTCTTGTACACTTTTATTGCAAGTTCCGAACCGTCAGATTTTGTGGCATGATAAACATTAGCCTGAAAGACAATAAAAGAGAGCACTTTCAACAAAGGAATCCAAACAGATCATCTCAAATATGAGAGTAGTGAATGTATCATACTTCTTTGCCTGTCGAAATACAGCCATTAACATCGTTAAACACACCCCGATTAAGCATTCTAAACAAAACCATACGCGTCCTTGGATCAAGAGCCTGGAACGAAGAACAAAAACAACATCAACACATTACAGAAAACACTCGATAAATGATCAGACCCAACTCTTTGTGTAACAGTTAGACCTCACCTGTTCAACTGTTGCCCGGTCCGCTTTATCAGTATTCCTACTTCTACCAATCTCTGTCTCTCTTAGACTTCCACGAATCGCAGTTGTCACAGAATTCGACATCCCAACTTTAACTCTTCCTTCCCATCCCTGCATCAACAATTATCTCAAACCACATAGTTCTCCACCTTACAAGTACAAAACCTAACTCAATGTTCATTTGAGCAGAGACTATGAAGCTTTTTTCAAATTCGATAAGAAACGTTACCTCTAAAGGAGAAGCACGAACATGACTAGTAAGCTTTTGTGCCTTATTTGATATAGGTTGAAGAGCACTGGAGTTAGGGCGTGAACCATGTCCACCGTGAGCATTAGGACGACGAGCGTGAAGAGAGAATCCACCACCAATTAGCTCGTCATCGTCTTTACCATCTAGCCAATCAAGAGCTTCAGCGATATCGGAATCTGATGAAAGAGAAAGATCGTCGTCGTCATCTTCATCGATCTCCTCTTCGTATTCCGCAACCGGAGGAATCGTCGGTGGTGGCTCTGCTGCTACCACTGCTTCCTCCATCGCTGTTTTTTTTTTTCTTTAGAGGAAACGGTGAAAGACCGGCGAATCAGAAGAAAAAGAATTCTCCAGTCGAAACCCTTTTCTTTACTCAGACCAGAACGGCGTCGTTTTAGGTTATGGTTCGACTTGAATTTTCGGATTTGGACATTTAAACTGAACCAGACCGGACATTTAAACTGAACCAGACCGGACATTTGTTTCGGTCGGCTTTTCTAAGGTTTCAATTCGATGAACCGATGAAGAAGATTTCTTTGGGTTTTATGTATCTTCCCTTTACGAGAAGAGAGTTTTCGTGTTTCAGCGTCAAACTCACAATTATTCTTTTTTTTTTTTAGTTTATGTTATTTATCTTGCCAAATACTTTTAAGTAGGTACTAATCCGTGTTTAGCATGAGATGAATTTTTTTAAAGTAAGGTTAAGTTCAAAACCAGTAGCGATTATGTTATGTTTAAATGATTTGAAATATATGTTTATCAATAATCAGAATGGTACAAATTTAGTCGTTTGTGTAAATTAGATTTGGATCCGCAGTACACCAGACCAGTAGATAAATATTTTATTAAATATATATATACATATATATTAATGTTAGCTTTTTACAGTTTTAATTTAGTATTTAAATTATATAATTTTAATTTTTGGTGTATTTAGATTTAACATGTGGTACATGTTTAGTTTAGTATTATAATTATATTTTTTTAGGTGTCAAAGAGATTAACAATTCTACATAACTCATACTACATCATGCTAATTCTAATTCTAACTATAAATAATAT